GTTGAAGATCTGGGTGATGGTCCTCGACGTAGTTCTTCAGCCACTGCCAGAGGTTCTCTATCGATACCGGAGCCAGGGCCGGTGGGAGGAGGCCGAGGGACTGCAAGCCAGAGAACTTGAAATGTATGCGAAGAAGCTCTGACCAGTATGGAGAATCTCGCTTTCATTTGGAAAGACATGGGTTGTCAAGAAGATGCTCTTGGCCTACGACAAACTTGCCTTGATCTCCGGCAAGAGGTGTTGGGCGTAGGCCATCCGTACACGGCCTCTACGCTGTCAACTCTGAAGGCATGGCTAGAGGAGAACATTCTATCTTAGAGTCATGGTTGCACCAGTGACATGATTAGGCGCAAGTCCCTGCCATGAGACGCAAAACGTTTTGCTTGCTCTTCTTGTTCCTGGCTTAAGTAAGCAAGACAGTGAAGCAGGCACTGTGCTGGATTGTGCGGGACATTTGACGGTGGGAACAGGCACGGTGTAAGCGCCAAGAGGCCCCAAAACAGGCCCCCAGACAATTGAAGGGAGAGTAAAAAGCGGAAGGCGATTTCGCCAGCGACTGTAGGGGGATAAGTCTATGATAGGGGTTCCGGAACTCCAGCAGTAAAGGCTTAGCGCATGCAGCGCTAGAGAAGGCGGAGATCAACAAAGCGGGTAGCTTGCAGTACTAGCGTTAGCATCTCTGGTATAGGGGAAGCTAGGGTTACGCGCCTTTCGCCTGTCTCAGGTTACTTGGCGGTAATCATGAACTGGGCTTTGGTAACTACAGACCGGACCGATAGTCCCACTGTGGTCGGCACTCCTGAACACTAGTATATGTGTCAAAAGTAAGGTCAAAGTCATCGTTGTTTTCTAAGGGTAACTTGACTAGGTCGGGGTGAGGTTAGGTGAAGCCAAAATTTCAAGCGCACAAGCAAATGTCTGTACAGTAGCTAGTATGCAACTGCCCCCATAATTGCTTACGAAGGAAGTTAGGATCTGTCTAACGAGTGACTTAAGTGATTCTCAAATACAAGCTTCCTCCCTTGGATCACTTCAGTTGGTATAGTGATCCCACCACTGGTTCACCAACGCTCGCCGGCGCTCCGTAGTGATCCCTCCTGATTGTCCCATCTTGTTCTGTACTGAATGGCCTGGGGCACGCCCGCATGCCCCACCGGTCGCTGCATGTGGTCAGATCCCGAGAGTTCGTATCATCTGCCGCATACCTGTATAACTAGTGCCACAGTTAGGGATAGGGTAGGTCTCATTCCCCTTCATCCGTTCGAAGAGACAGACCCCATGGAACCAATTTGTGCAACAGAACTTGTTACACAGTCCCCCTTCATTTTTTTCTCGCAGATGGGGCACTCGGTCCTGTCGTTCTTTACTTCTTCGTGCTCAAGGAATTGAAAGCATCGCTATATAAGGTGATTGTCAATTCGTCCCTTTAGCTCCTAATAATCTTCGGGTAATAGCTACCTGAATATTAGCGACCTAGTGTTATCATGAATATGTACAACTTACAAGGGTAGTATCTGAGTCCCACGGAGCCTCTTATCTGTACTTCTAGGAGTTCCGCTGTTCTGGGTCTCATCCTTCTCCACTTGGTTCGTCCAGAGCCGGATTGTCTTGTCCTCTGAAGCTGACGCTAGACTCTTGCCGTCCGGTGAGAACGCCACTTCCGTGATCCAGTCCTTATGCCCTTCAAGCGTCTGCCGGTGCGCGCCGGTCGCCATATCCCAGAGCCCGATTTTATTGAATGAATTCGACGCCAGAGTTTTGCTGTCCGGCGAGAACGCTCCTGCTAAGACGCAATGGTCATGCCCCTCAAGCGTGTAGCAGGACATAGCGCAGCTGCCTGCAGTCATTTCAATAAAAGATAGCCTTTCGCAGGGAACATTGAGGTGTGATCTGTGCCGCAAATAGCAGCGTGTTGCCGCTTGAGAGTCTATCACGATAGGTGATGGATGCTGCTACCGCTAGGGTGGTGCCCCTAAAAGAAAGCCGATGCAATGATCAGAATTGAACAGTTCACTTCTTTGGAACCCTAAAGGCTTTTACCCTCACACCTGCATTACCTATTTATACCCTACGCGAGCTGCCTCAAGTGCGGCTAGTCGAATTGGCCATGAGTGCTGGGGCAGCCAGGCTAAGCGCACCGAAACCTGGGCTAAGGGATGCCGGAACCCAGGCAGCACCAAAAAAAGAAAAAAAATAGCCTGGGGAAACTGAGTTATTGGGCGCTCTTCGGAATGACGGCATCGATGACGCGCAACCCACCTAATTTCGGCTGCATGGCCGGTCGACACAGTCATGGCTAGCCGCGCGCGTATAGTGCCGGGTCGCGGCCCACTCTAAGCGCGAGTCAGTCCCGCTTGCTCGTCCCGACGGTACATAAGTTGTGTTTGACTACAGTCCATCGTTCTAGCAGTCAGCATCTTGCAT